GATTTTAAACACCATTTTTTTAAATTAAAAAAATATATATATAGATTTAGGATTCCACTTTAATTTTTCACTGGGTCCACCTCGCAAAGTGACTTCTATTTAAACTACTCTACTGTAATCCACGACAAACATTAAACATACATACAAAAAAAAAATCTACCAATTCCGAAATCAAGGGTGTTGTACCCAGGGTCAAGGCTGACTGGTTTTTGAGGGGTTAACGGTTAAGGACGTCGGTGGTTTTGCCGGATGAAAGCACAATCAATCAATAGTTCATCAGTAGCGACGCATTGGCCATTGGCCATTTAATTCCGTAGCATCCACGAGAGTGGCTTTATTATTAGTTCACCATTTGGTTAAAACCACATTTTTACATCAAGTCCGTTTCAAAATCCCACCCTCTTTCTACGAACATCCAAGGATTCCCTCAACTTCCGATCACAAAAAAATCCGTTAATGGATCGACCCCCCCCCCCCCCCGCCCTCCCTCTAACCCTACCCCCCAATCTCATGATTGTACTCTTGTACTCACCTTCTCACGTAGATCCCTCTTTACGGCCACCAGCTCACGAGTGCACCCCCCTACCCCTACCCCCCTAGCCCTAGCCCAACCCCCCCCCCCCCCACTCTCATGATGTACTCACCTCTTCACGTAGATCCCTCATGTAGATCCGCCAGTTTATGCGTGCACCCACCCCCTCCCCTAGCCCTACCCCCCCCCCCCCCAACCCACTCTCATGATGTACTCACCTCCTCACGTAGATCCCTCTTTACGGCTGCCAGCTCACGCGTGCACGAGCAGTTCACGTGCCCGGCCATCCACATGTTGCTCGGCTCGTCACGGCTGGAGTTGTCCTCCTCGCTGACGTCCGCCGCCATCCGGCTCAGCTTCTCCGGCCTCTCTCTGGGCGCGATCTTCTGCGCCGTCAGACTTTGGCACAGCACGCAACACACCATCAGCGCAACACGAACATATCTCGTTGTCATTTTTATCCTTTTAATCAACTTAATTAACCTCGGAATTTATTTGACCTTGCAATTTAATCCAAGAATTTAAATATTAAAAATTCAATTTTCAAAAACTATGTAAAAAAAAGCGTCCTGTCTTTTTGTTCGTCTCCAAAGGATGTGAAAATATGTGACTTTTCTTGTGGTCTGTCTCAAATCAACGTACGTGGTGCTAGCGTCTTGGCGTGCTGCTAGGAATGAAGTTCTCTAACTCGGCGAACAATGACTCCGGTCGAACTATCTGGAAGGACGCCGTCTAACAACAACGCACGGCCTAAACAAACGAAACCTCGTTTGTGTTGACGTTGTTTTAGGGGTCTTCTGTGTTGACCGGAGCAGGCTAGGCCGCGCCTTTAGCCTACAAAAGACAAGTGAACTTTCACGTGTGGGAGGGAAGGGGGTGGGGCGGAATCTGTATGCACTGCATGGTTCTATTATTTGCGCAGCAGTGTGCACACCATGCGCGCCGGCGGAGGACCGGCGTCTTCATTGGTGACATTGTCGCATGGGTCAACAATACCGACTTCTGCTCGGATATTTCCCACGTGTAATCAATCATACACACACACAGTAAAAGTGGACAATCAATCATCATATAAACATAGCACAACAGGAATGTTTTTCTGATTTTAATATGGAAGCTTGGCAGTCCCCACTTTCCATCTTATAAAAATAAACAACAACTCCACGCTGATTGGCTGGCAGCTGCACGTGACTCGACAATACCACATACATCATTTATATTGCCTGGGGATATTAAAGATGAGTTTTACAGGTCCATTCTTTCCCCTCCCCCTTCCTCCCTGACCTCCAATTTCTTCAGTCGAAGAAAAAAGTGAGATAGTGAGTCAGTGATGACAAAGTGTACATTATTCACTTGACAATTTTAAAGTGCTAGACGGTTTCTTATTGTGTGAGGATTTTAAAACAAATTCCCACAGCATGGTGCTTAATGACTGTGTTGAAGTTACAAAACAGGATTATTATCATACAAAAGAAAAGATCATTGCTACACGATATACAATAAGGTCATTGCTACACAAGACACAAGATCATTTCTACACAAGACACAAAGAGATCATTACTACACAAAAAAACAAGATAATTTCTACACGAGAAACAAGATAAATACTACACACGACACAAGATCATTTCTACACAATACACAAGATCATTGCTACACACAAAAAAAAACAAGAAACAAGACCATTACTACACAAGAAACAAGACCATTGCTACACAATCAAGAACAAGATTATTACTACAAATGAAACAAGCTCATTACTATACACGAAACATTACTATACAAGAGGCAACATCAGTTCTACATAAGACACAAAAGATCATTTTGTAAAATCCCAGTTTCCTATTATCGAATTCATAATTTGAATAGAATTGATCCGCGATGGATGCGAAAAGTTTAATAAACAAATATACGAATGTTTTAGCATAAGACTAACCGGCATAAATGCATTTTGATAGGTCGTGAGGACTAAATGCGCATGCGCAACTACGTCACATGATCTAACCGAAGTCTTTCTTCAAATGTATAGCTGGCACCAACTACTGTACCTAACAACGACCCAAACACTAAAATCGAACAAAATATAACACCTTCAAGTCAACAGCACCTTATGACATTAAGTGTTCCATTGTCATAAAATCGATAGATCGATCATCATCAATATTAACGAGTGAACCTTGATCAGAGAAGAACATCATACATAAAACATTTTTTTTTTTAAATTGATTGTTTTAATTTAAAAAAATAAAAAGCATGACAACAAAAATTTATTTAAAAAAAAATTATCGAACGAAATAAAAAGTTACAAGCAAAATGAGGATTCGTCTATTGACCGCTTACAATATAAGGTGTGATGTATTTTGTAATTATTGTAATATCACGAATCGATAATCTCCCGGGAGATTGATTTATTATTAATCTGTTTGGCGGTTTTGTTGAGTGTAAGCTTTAAGAAGACTTAGCCGGCAGTGTAAACAGTTTGTATGGAATTACAATCAAATTACCTCGAGGGTAAGTTGATGTGGGTACTGGTATAGCTTCTTCTTTTTCTTCGTTCTTCTACGTTCCTAATTTTATGTTGGAAGGGATTCCCTCCAACACAATTAAGTATACGTGTCAACTTGTTATGCACCATTTATAGGCCATTGACTATGATTTCAGCCTGTTTTTTTTCTTTTTTGGCTTTGCTTCCATAGCCTTTGTCCAACCAAGAACAAACTACAAGGCAGCAGTTGTTTGATTTTGGAGTTGTCTCTCCTAGAAGAGTGGCTGTCCCCAGCTATAGAGCTTCGAACTCGAGAATTTTCGGTTTAGCAACCATGAGCTTTACCGACTCGACCACGCCGACCCCTAATTAGGTATAGCGTTGATGAATCGCCCAGAACTGAGGACGATGGAGGGGTGTGGTTGTGTTCCACAAGGGTCCACATAAAGGATGATGAACATATTTTCAGACTTGACTAAGAGAGGGACAGTGTTTCTTTCAGGTATCTGTCGAAGCACGTCTACGTCTCAAAGTAGGTCTTTCCCCCCCCCCCCACACCCCGGAAAAAGAAATTATATAGAAATATATACTTTTACCACAGTCCATTCCCACCCCCCACCATGTTACTCCACTCCCCCCTCCTCCAAATATTAAAGTCCCGGTCCCCCCTCCCCCACTGTGGGTGAAAATTTTGGTTCTGTCCAAAAAAAACGCCATCTAGTGCTTATTTGCTCGTAAGTTAGATAATGATTAATGTTAGGTTTAGGCAAGGATTATTACATGGTTAATCGTTAGGCTATGAGGTGTTGATGTTTTAAAAAAAATTGATTTAGGATTACATTTCTAGTTTGTGGCTGAAATATGTGGTATGGCTAGACCAAGAGTACACGGTGTATCAATACATCTAGGGGGGGGGGGGGGGAACAAAACCGTTTCAATAATTTCAAATAACTTATTCTAATCCTAGTATCGTTCCCTGGTAACCTTTAAACCTAGTCCTAACACTAACGCGATAACAGCAAAGAAAGAAAAACTCGATACGACTTACAAGTACCATGTCGCAATTATAGAAGAACCTATAACGATTCTTCGTTACATCATTAACTTTAGCCTCGTGAGCAGGGCGCATAACAGAAGTATAACAACTGTACCTTTAAGTGTACCCATATTCCCTACTCGTATTTTAAAACAACAATACTAAAAAACTAGACTTTTTACCCATCAAGTTTGCCACGTGTAGATCTGGGGTATGGCTAATCAAGAACATCGGGGAAGGGAACAGTTTTGGCCATTTTTAATTACATAATTATTCAAGGTTAGCCTCGTGGATATAAACAACAGTGACATCACTTACATAAATTAATTCACATAGCGTCCATTATTTGATGAGCTGACCAATTATGGTGCAGGGTATCCATTAGTTGCTCTTGTTTAATTTACAAAAGCGATCTGCCAATGTCATATAAATCCGCCTAGGCGTCGAAGTTTCGGTGCACAGATCCGCAATATATCCAATGTGGTCCATGTCATTGTTTAGGTGCACGTCCCAGTTTCAAGACAAAGGTACCAGATGCGGGAGGTACTTTTTTTCCGGTAAGATAGACAGGCGTGTTTTTAAACGTAGTATAATATACACTGGTGTTTCATGGTTGGACTAAGGGGATTAGAGTAAACGTTAGCTAATCACATGGGGGATAATGCAGATGGTGTAATCTCAATGAATGAGCTGTTCCAGGCAGCGTTCTTTCCTGGCATCCGTTTCATGCAGTTTTCCCAGAGGCACTTCCAGCCCCCCCCCCCCCCTCCTCCCCCCTTTCGACAAAGTAGACATATATATAATTTATATAGAAAATATATACTTTAATCAATGTCAACCTCCCTCTCCCGGAAATTTCAAGTAATTCCCCCGTCCTTGAGAAAAAACGTCTGAAAGAAACCCCAGTTCGGTGTAACGGAAAAGTGCACAATTTCGGTAGACACCACTATGTCATTTCAATGGCCGCCGGTCCCACATAACGGAAAAGTCACAAACCTCTGCCACGTCATCTCTTCTGGAAGCACAGGCTGGTCTTCGACACGGGGAGGAGCAAGGTCTTGACCTTTGACCTGAAGGAAGGGTTGAAGCAGTAGTAGATGATGGGGTTGGCCACGAAGTTGACCAAGTTCAAGGTCGCGAGGTGCTTGAAGAGCACGTGATCGAGGAGGGGGTCGAGGCTGTCACGTGACCCGTAGAAAGAGAACATGTAGAGGACCCAGGGCGGGATCCAGGACAGGAGGAAGGCGGCCGTCACGGAGAGCAGCATCAAGGTCATCTGAAAATCAAAGGTCAAGGTTGAAATTGGTGTAAGTAGAGGTTTTATTTTTTTTGTATAACGAAGATACGGGTTTTAATAGAGAAAAGTAAAAACTATTTTATTCATCACGATTTATATGGTAAATGAAGTAGAGTTTATCTGGGAGTTTTTTTTTTATTTACAACCACATTTTGATTAATACATATTAGTACATGGGCACAAGATTTTGATTGACACAAACCTAGACGAAGATTTGGGCACCATTTAGTATGGAAGTTAGGGACGGGGTGGATAGAACGATGTGTTTTACATCACAGTTAGAAACAATATAAATCTCACCTCACCCCCCCCCCCCAGTGTGTTTTACATTACAGTGCGAAACAATAGAGAAATTTAATCCAACCCCTCCCCACCCCAGTGTGTTTTACATCACAGTAAAAAACAATATAAATTTAACCCCTCCCCACCCCGTAATTAGTGAAATTAGAGGAAAGAGTGATTTTGGACTGTGTATCTATGTCTAATGTCTCTGTTATACTTAAAAGTAATAAACAAAAAAAAACCTTTCCTTATCATGAATAAAGGTTTGTGATATCATACTTGTTTTTTTTTGGTTCACATAAAAATATCTTTTTTCATATATTAGAATTCACACAATGAACTTTTAAAAACTTATTTAAAGGAATGAAACATTACTGTGTTTAAAAAAAACAATAGATCAACTCGTTTCTAGTTTATTTTTAAAACAAGTTAATTAAAAAAGTCTAGTGACATTTATGCGCAATTTCCTTATGTTATCTAAAAATAGCTCTGACGTATAATGCTGGGGTGCGTTCAAGCTAGAAGAACGATCGGTTTGTAGGTGTTTATGTAATTTTAAAATTTGTGACCGAACGAGCGGATATTTTTGAAAACTTTCTTCGGCAATATTGTTCTAAATTATGGCAGGAATCGATTGGTACATGTTTCAAGTCGCTAAGTGGTCTGGTTGCCGAGATATGGGCAAAAAACTGCATTTTTTCGAGGTTTTTTGGCTTTTCCGGGAAATACATGAAAGAAACCCGGAATTTTTATGGCCTATGCTCATTCTCGTAACTTGTTTAACATAATTGCTTTTGGAACTAGTCATCGATATTGCTTCGTTGAGGAGGAGATACGACTTAAAGCCCGGACACACATTCATCCATACATTCATTCATTCATTCATCCATCCATTCCCAGAAATGACGAGTTAATAAACGCAATTCTCCAGAATGGAAATTGCGCTAAAAAGTTTATGTTACTAAACCACTCAAGTAAAGTAGGACAACCCTTTCAAACCTTACGTTCGATGGGGCGGATAGAGTTCAACTGTTTCAGTACCTTCGACATATGATGGGATACTGTGATCAGTACTAGGCCCAGCCACATTTACTTTCTCTAACGTGAGTCAGGTACCCATCAGAGCAGAGTGGGCTCAAGGACGTCCTACGGACTCGAGATCTGGATCTGAACTCGAGACTTACGGGTTAGCAGTCAAACGCTCTAGCATTCGACCACACCGTCCCATTTACTATACATAATTTATTTATATACGATTCAACTATTTGTAATTTTTATTTCTATATAGGAATGTACTTTTTGTAAATTTTTTCTAGACATATTTACCTGTTTTAATTTATTTCTAAACATATTTAACTGTTTTAATTTATTTCTAAACATATTTATCAATTTTTAATTTATTTTTCTTCTTGACGTATCTACCTGTTCATAATGCACCTGTATACCTACCTGTTTCTCTCTGCCGAAGCGCCGCCTGCTGGAAGCCGATTTACCAGACCCCTTTGAAGTTTTGGAACCTTTGTCCGTGCGTCTCAGCAGGGTGGAGAGGAAGATGGCGGTGGGCACGTCCCCTATAGGGGCCTCGTCCCTCTCCACCCCATCGTCCACCGAGTCGAATCTCTGCTGGTGTTTGTAGGCCAGAAATTTGGTGGATTCGGTGGATGTGATACTTCCGGTGGAGATGAGAGTTTGTCTGTATTGCGGAGGCGCCCTGAGAAAACTAGTATTAGCGTCGTCGCGAAGCAATCCAGTACTTTCGTTGGGAGCGGATTGGTCTTTGGGGATTGGGGTTGGGTTTTTAAGAGGTGATTCTTGAGGGGAGCAGGGGAGTCTGGGGGCGTCGTTGCTGTCTTCGAAGACGTCGTCTTCAAAGCTTGAAGGCGTTCGGATCAGCAACGGCGAGATGGACCGGATATGCATGTGATTCGGGGTACCGTGGTGCTGACTGCGCATGCCCGGATTACACAGCTGATCTGTTTCTGATAGGTTGGAGATACGTCCTTGACGTTCATGAATAAGGTTGGCACTAACTTGCCCAGCAGACTGGGGGTCTAGACGGTCGTCTGCTTTCAAATAAATATGAGACTGGTTACTCAAATCGCTTTGTTTATCCTGACGCAAGCGGGGGTACGTATCTGAAGTTGGTGTTCCAGAAAGAAGGGAATCCGATTTTTTATAAACGCCCCAATGATCATTTTCGATGAGATGATTCGGTGACGTCATTATGGAGGAATGGCGCTCGTCGATGTGTGAGTAAGACTTGGACTTTCGCATTAGAGAGCTGCTAACTACACCACTGTTTAACCTACCGTAGTCATCTATAAAGTAAGTCGGGTTTTGAGAATTACGCTCGTGAAAAGATGTGTTTCTTGATAAAGGGAATATGCATAAAGATACATGTTTAAAAGAAACAGAATTTGGTTTAACTCCAAGATTTTGTTTTGGGTGAATGATTTGTTTTTTTCTTCCGGAGAAAGTTTCGTGGTTTAGTAAATAAAAATGCGGTTTGTGTTTTTGATGCGTGGGGGTGGCGTCTCCAAACACCTCTTTTAGATTGGATGTATAATTGTTTGAATGGTTGTGTTTATAATTGTCTGTCTGATTGTCTGCGTGTTTGTCTGTCTGGTGTTCGCATGCCGTGTTGCCCGCGACCTCTGTCACCGTCAGGGACGGGATCTCTTTGAGGCTGCGCGGAGCTCCATCCGGCCCCGTGCGCATGCGTGCGCAACAGTCCTCCGTGTGGGTCGCGGTATCCAGGGACCCCGTGCTCAGTTCAGAAGCCCTGGGCCCACTCATCGCTGATGAATAATTGATGCGCTTTTGGCGCGCATCGCTGGTCGTATGCGTGAGCGACGGTCGGAGAAAGATGTTGCTGCTAAAACTACATTGACTCGAACGGTTCGATCGTGTTGTTGGTGACGCCGCGTCCGTCGCACTGACGCCGTCACGGCATCCGTTTGTTTTATGACTCCGACTATACGGCGTCAACACGGGGAGCGAAAATCGTTTTAAAAGTCGAGTTTGGGTTGAAGTTGATGTTGTTGTTGTTGTTATTATTCCACCGTTGGTGGAGCTGTTATTTTTATCGCAGTTTGAATTATCATTTTTGTCAAATTTTTCTAAATCAGCGGGAGAACTTGACAGTTTGACGATAACATTTCTGACCGGTTTCTCCTCGCTGAAACTTTTTATAAATTTAGCACGGTTATCAATCACAGGGATTTGTAGCATGTTTGTTCTGTTGTTTTCAGAACCGCGAAGATGCGGACGCCATACTGAAATTTTTGAAAAACTTCCGGTTTTCTTTTCCTCCGACTTCCGCTCAAACTCGCTTTCGATTTCTTGCAGCGAGGCGTTCTCGGTCTTGGTCAGCGTGTCGATAACAGACGAACTACAGCAGGAGTGAAAAAAGCGCGGTTCTTTTTTCGTTTGCTCCACGTCTGCAGGCGACCTTACGGGCGAACTGTTGCTCAAAAGACGTTTCTTTATTCTGACTTTTTCCCCGATGCGCTTGCACACACTGATGTACGCGAACGTCACGACGATAAAACTACACAGGAATATCGAGAACAGGCCCGTGTAGTAGCCTTTGGTTGCGAGGGACATGACGTGCAGACGCGAGTGGTTGCAGACGTCTTCCCGGAAGTTGTCCAGGGTGGGGTAGAAGGAGAAGATGGCGCCGAGCACACACGACCAGACGCAGACGTGGCGCGCTTTGGTCGGGGTCAGTGACCGGAGCGTCGGCTGGCAGATTTTGATGTAGCGGTCGACGGCGATGACGTCGAGGATGATGAGGGACGCGACCATGGCCGTGTACTGCATCCAGAGGTCAAGGCCGCACCAGAAGCCGTTCAGCCACGGGAAGTCGGCCTCGAACTCTGACCGCAGGTGCAGCAGAGGGGAGAAGAGGCAAACGATGGCGTCCGTGATGCCCATGGTGAGGATCAGCCAATCGCAGGCCGTCTTGGGGAAGGTTTTCCCGTAGACGACGGCGATGACGATGTTGCCGGGGAAGCCGATGACGAGGATGAGGATCAGGTAGGTGGCGTAGAGGGCGCTGAACCAATCGAGGTCAAGGACGACCGGGGACACGGAGCTGGTGTTGGTCATAGTGGTCACATGGATGGAAGTGCTAGTCACACGTGTCAGAATCTAAGTGCTAGTCACATTTGGCAAATCTTAAGTGCTAGTCATATTAGTCAGAATCTTGGTTCTATTCACATTAGTCAGAATCTAAGTGCTAGTCACAGTTGTCAGAATCTAAGTGCTAGTCACATTTGGCAAATCTTGGTTGTACTAGTCATATTAGTCAGAATCTCTGTGCTATTCACATTAGTCTGAATTTAAATGCTAGTCACATTGGGTAAAACCTAAGAGCTAGTCACATTAGCTAGAATGTAAGTGCTATTCTAATTAGTCAGTATCTAAGTGCTAGTCACTTTATTCAGAATATAAGTTCTAGTCACACTGGGTAAAATATAAGCGCTAGTCACATTATTTAATATGTAAGCGCTAGTTACATTCTTCAGGATGTATGCTCTAGTAGCATTTGTTATCATCAATGTGCTATCCACATTAATAATACTATCCAATATTTCTTTATATATAATCAGCGTCGTTGGTTAACTTTCATTACTTTCAAGTATCAGTTCGTTAGCATTTTATCGCCAACCTGTTACTAACAGTTTTAGTAATTGACCATATTGGTAACAGATACATTTGTTAACAGTTAATCAAATCACCACCCTGTTCGTGATTGTTGACCAACGTTAACATTCCAGTCACACTTTAAAAATGAGAGGGTTAATGAAACTGGCCAACGTTAATTTATTCATTACTAGCCACACGTGTCAGTGTTTCGGTACACGTCAAATTGCCTGTCAGTCGAAACATTTTCTTATCTTTAATCAGCTCAGCCTTTCCCCAACAAATTAGAAAAAATCAGAGTCTGATCCTCTTTAATCCTAAAAGTTGGGATTGAATTCAACATTGTATTAAAAGAAATAGTATCCTTTGAATTTCTTTAGAACTTCGCTGGATGTACAACATTAGAATAAACGACTGATTTTGTTAATCCATATCATGTTGATAATTACTCCACAAGAATAATGATATGTACATTGAAAATTGAAATGAAGGTTGATACATGTTCAACTTGATATTAAAATATGGATGTTTCATCATTCTTCTAAAACTGATCTTTTTATTCCACCAAGATGAGAATGAATTAATTTTCAACATTAAAATTAAAAGAAAGATTACGCTTCCGTTGAAGTTAATGAATGAGAACACAAAATGGCGGATATTTTTTTACAGTCAGATGTAGTAAATTAAAGATAGATTATTTTTCCATAGAAGTTAATAAATGTTCAGATAGGATTTTTAATGTTCATTTTTCTTCACGCCAGATGGGCTAAATGTTCAACAGTGATTTTTTTTTAAATAGACTTTTTTTTGCCATTGAAGTTGATTTAATCACATAAGAAAAAAAAAACTGATCTTTTTCTTTCAGCAATATGGTGTGTTTGTTCAACTTGAGTACTAATCTTTGAAAAGTGCACGCTCAAAAGTACCACACATCAGTGTACTAATCGCTAAAAAATCTCACGTGTCAGACAAGCTCCTTCACACCTTTAAAACAGGTGTTAGATAGACATCCTCCACACCGGAAACACCTGCCGCCGACACACCTGTTGTTGACAAACACACCGATGACTCATCCAACTCACAACAACTCTCGGCTCATCTAGCGGTCACGTGTTGTGTTATCACCGTAACACGTGACACGACGGCTACCATTGAGGCCGCTTCCTCTTGTTGTGAACGAGTGATTTGTTTATTGTCGATTGATTTGTTTTCTGCCATCACCGTCGTCATAACCTGGGACAGAGAATAAATAAAAATAAATATTTTACGAGAATTGTCACGTGACAGCGATAATTCAAATACATTTGTCGAAATCGGGTGATAGATTATACACAATTTTATTTACGTTGATTCTCGAGAAAGATATAAAAAATAAATGAATTCGTCAGAATGTAAAATAATAAACTTTCGAGAGGGGTACTTAAAATTTCTTGAAGGCGGACGTTGGTTTCCATACAAATTATTTTTTCCATTACGTCCGGGGGTGATTTTTTTTGGGGGGGGGGGGGGGAGGGATGTGCAGTGCCCCACACGAAGACATGCCTGAAAGAACTCTGAACATTTAACAGCAAGCATATCACATCAACATGCAGTATTCCTAAAGACAATAACATTAACAACAATCATATCACATCAACATGCAGTATTTTTAAAGACAATAACATTAACAACAATCATATCACATCAACATGCAGTATTTTTAAAGACAATCACATTAACAACAATCATATCACATCAACATGCAGTATTTTTAAAGACAATAACAATAACAACAATCATATCACATCAACATGCAGTATTTTTAAAGACAATAACATTAACAACAATCATATCACATCAAAATGCAGTATTTTTAAAGACAATAACATTAACAACAATCATATCACATCAACATGCAGTATTCCTAAAGACAGCCCCAATAACAGCAACCATTGTAAGAAAGGACACAACTCCCTGTGTCCTGGGCACCGCAGGAAGAATCTGGGTGTAAATATGTGGGTAAAGTGAACAGTAGTAGGGAAAGGGATAGTGTATTTGAGATAGTGTATTTGAAGTGTTAGGGTTATTGAAAGGTTAATGTTTTCAAAAGATTCTATTTCCCTGTTTGTTATGAATGTGAGATATGGCAGGATCGAAGGACAATGTACGCAGAAGAGGACGATTCAATATAAATCCGAACAGGACCTCGTTGTTAATTTCATCTTTTAATTACACTTAAACGAAACATATGCACGACGACAAATGAATACATCCACTCACTAACACGACAGGTCTATGACTCAACTCTCCGACGTCACATCCTTACTTGCCTCGCTACATTCAACATCTTTTATTAATGTAACACATTCGACTACACCAGGGGTCGGCAACCTGCGGCTCGCGAGCCGCATGCGGCTCCTTTGATATCAAGATGCGGCTCTCCAGCTCCTTGCACAAATACTGAGAATCTTAATAAAAAAATAAAATATTTGAAATAAAAAAATGTTAGTGGCTCTTTAAAACCAGATAATTTTTGAAAATTGTAACTTTTGGCTCTTCCGCTTCAAAAGGTTGCCGACCCCTGGACTACACACATACTCTCACACCCATTCAGTACACTAAAATACCATTTACAAACTGTTTGTCCTTCGAAGAGGGGGGGGGGGGCAGATTGTTAATTAATTTAGTTCAATTAACCACTAAAAACATACCGCGCGTTACGTGTTGATTCGACGACCTTGACCCCTGTACTTTCACGACACTCGCTGCCCGAGTCAACACGGTTACATCCCGGCTGATATAATTGGTAATTAGATCATTAAATATTTGAGCAAGGCCCCCAATCTCGTTAATTAAAAATAATCAATTTCCTGCCAGTTTTTGTATTATCCATTGTAAATAATTGCGTGAGAGTCTATTATGTTTTCTACTTTGTCATGCCTTGTCGATAACTTTCTCTGTCTTTGGGTGGTCTGCCGGCTAAGCTTTATATAAATTTACATGGTCTGCCGGTTAAACTTTATCTAAATTTACATGATCTGCCGGCTAAACTTTATCTAAATTTATATGGTCTGCCGGCTAAACTTTATCTAAATTTACAGTCTGCCGGCTAAAAAAATTTTTATTATTATTTTTTATGCCGGCTAAACTTTCTCTTTATTATCACGGTCTGTCGGCTAAACTTTCTCTGTATTATATATAATCTGCCAACTAAGCTTTCTCCAAATTAACATTTTCTGCCGGCTTAACTTTCTCCATATTTGCATGGTCTGCCGGCTAAACTTTCTCTTTATTATCACGGTCTGCCGGCTAAACTTTATATTTGCATGGTCTGCCGGCTAAACTCTCTTTTTATTATCACGGTCTGTCGGCTAAATTTTCTCTTTTATTATAATCTGCCGACTAAGCTTTATCTAAATTAGCATTTTCTGCCGGCTTAACTTTCTCCATGTTTGCATGGTCTGCCGGCTAAACTTTCTCTTTATTATCACGGTCTGCCGGCTAAACTTTCTCTTTATTATCACGGTCTGCCGGCTAAACTTTATATTTGCATGGTCTGCCGGCTAAACTTTCTTTTTATTATCACGGTCTGCCGGCAAAATTTTCACTTTTATTATAATCTGCCGACTAAGCTTTATCTAAATTAGCATTTTCTGCCGGCTTAACTTTCTCCATGTTTGCATGGTCTTCCGGCTAGGCCACCTTTTGCCATTTTCATGGTCTGCCGGCTTTAACACTCCGGCGAGGATTAAAATCAATATTTACAAATCGATCATTGACAAGTCGATGTCGTACGCTTCACATCTCTACATTAGAGGTCATCCATACTCGGCTCGGCATAGACATGACCGCATGGTCCATTCGTATGTCGGGGTGGGAGGGGGGGGGGGTGTCTTGTAATCAGATGAACTCTACTTCACCTGCCAAAGGATCTGTAGGTTCTGAATATAGTAGAGTTAGGAGTTTAGAGCTCGGTTCAACTGAGCTTAAGTTAAGATGGTTGGTGGTCATGAAAACGAAAGTAGGAGTAAAACTGGCAACGAGTTTGTTCACTAAAACGATTTAATAACCAGCCTAGCTTGCTTTTTTTTTCAAAAGTTATGATTAAATTTCAAAGTTTAAACATATCTACACTAGTTTTAATACTTCTTTTTCAAAAATTATGTTTCATCTATTTTCACGTCTTTTCATTCCTGAATTTAAAAATTAAAAGATGCGATTTCAAAGACAAAACATATTAACATTATTTTTTTAAAGATTATTTTCTCTAAAAAAGAAAATCAATTTCATAATTCCCTGGCTTTTCAAACCGAAGTTTAAAAAAAAAATTCCCATTCGTCTTTTCGCCTTATTTATTATTTAAACCTGGCAATTCATTTTGGGGGCGACTGATGGAGTGGAATGATGGATTCGAATGTTCGAGAAAATAAAATGTGTGGATACAGTCACGGTGAAGATTAACACGTTGTTGTGTAAAAAATAGA